AGGGTGAGATTTCTGATTATATAATAACTGTAGATGTAACTTTATAAGAAACTGCCAAAGTGTTTTCCGCAGTAGTAGTATCATTTTCCATTCCTACCAGCAATGAATGAATATACTACTTGCGCCACATCCTTGTCAGCACTTAGTATTGTCAGTTGATTTAAAAAAATAATAACATTCTAATAGATGTGAAGTACTATCTCACTGTGGCTTGGCTTGCATTTTTCCCAATGACTAATAATGTTGAACACCTCCTTATTTGCCACTCATATATCTTCTTTAGTTTAGTGTCTCTTTAATTCCTTTGCCCATTTTTGGAACTGTTTTCTTATTATTCAGTTGTAAAAGTTCTTTATAAATTCTGGGTGCAAATCTTTTACAGTATATGTTTTGCAAATATTACCTGTAGGTTTATGACTTGTATTTTTTATTTTTCTTGTAGTTTGTTTTGAAGAGCAGTTTTAATTTTTATAAAGTTTAATTTATCATTTTTTTCTTTTATGGTTTAGTTTTTTGCTTCTAACCAAGATGTTCTTCCCTAATCCATTGTCACAAACTTTTTCAAGAAATTTTAATGCTTTAAATTTTGAATTTATGTTTGTTATCCATTTTTAGTTAATGTTTGTACGTAATGTGAGATATGCTTCAAAGTTCATTTTTTACACATATTCAATTGACTAGTAGGGTTTTTATAAATATAAATTAACTTAAGGTGTGTTAAAGCCTGGTGCATAGTGAACACTTAATCAATTTTAATCTTCTTTATCAGGAGATAACAATCCCCCACCATTTCCGTGACTCTTCAAAGCAAGACTGGGGAGATGGCTCTGCCTGCCATCTGGAGTGAACCTGTACATCCCATCAGGGACTTTCTCTTATAAAAATTAGAGAATCCATCTAATAGTTAATTTGTTCAAGAAAAAAGCAAAGTATGGTAGTGTTTACCTCCATTATTATGAAGATTAGGTCCTAAAAGATCAAACTAAAATCTTAATAATGGTTGACCCTCTTCATGGACACCCAGAAGTAAGAGTTACTGAGCTATTTAGTTTTACGATTTCAAATATAAAGATTGCTACACGCTACCTGTGTATACAAATGCCGCTTTTTATTCAGCTTAAGAACTTGTGAAGGACCCTTGAGTTTATTCAGAGGCCAGTCATTTTCCCAAGTCTATTGTCTGCAGTGTGGTTATCACCCAGCTCACCACACAGCACAATTTCGAGGGTGTAAGCTTTCAGATCTGATCTTTAGCTGGAAAGAGAGGTCTTACTTTGAAGAAGTCACGAAATACTCAGAAAAGAACAATGCTCTTTCTAATGTTCTCTAACAACGTTCTCTAATTTGTGCTCTCGGCACTGCTGACACAGCCAGGGAAAATCGTAAGAGGGAATCGCTTATAAAAATTATTCTTCATAGACAGAGGGAAGGTGAGTACTTTTTGTGCCATATTCCTCTTTCGTCCGCAGATGTGAACTGGGGCTCCTCCACACAGGCTCTTTCCTATGTCAGTGCTTTGGACAACGCTCTGGAATTAACCACAGTGGAAGACCATGTGAAAAATTTCAGGTAAAATTGGCTTCTCAAGTATCTTGGTGGTGTTCCACATTAGAAGTGGCCTTTCTTTATGGGGGACAAATGCACTAGAGTAGTCACATGCTATGGGTACAATCTAAGACTAGGCAGTCATACAAACTACCACGTTTCCATGACAGCACCTTCTGTAAACAACTGCTGCTTCTCTTCCACTCCAAGCTACGCCCACCCCCAACTAGAAACCCTCATAGTGCCGAGGGCCACCTTCCGTGCATGGGGACACAGAGGTGACCTAAGTGAGGTGATTTTACAGCGATGTCCCCGATGTCTCCATTCAACTTAATGCTGCGTGGCTTACTGAATTCTCTTAGAAGTAACACTTTAAGCTCTTTATTAGGTATATCTTATTTTGAATGGAACCTGGAAGCCTAAGTTCTGCAAGGAGAATGAAGGAAAGTACTGGGTGGGAAAGGACAGGCTGTGTTGGGATTTGGAATAGGATAGTGTCCAGAGGAAAGAAGATAAGGGGAATCCAAGACCACCTTTCCTTACTTTACATTTTAGCGCTCACTAACTAAGAATATAGAGAGGGCAAGATGGGCAGGCAGGATGACTCAAGACTTCTGGTGAGAAATCCAAGAAATACATAGGGGAGAGTTGGTTCCATTTTGCCAAGCCTTCTGCACCTGCCATTTCCACCGGGGTGGTTCTGAGCTCATAGGCTTCTTGCACCGGTCAGTTCTCGCATCTTTTTCTCTACTTCCAGGCCCCAGTGCATTGTCCTAACGGGGGGACCCATGACAAGACCCGCTCTCTTAGACATAACTCACGCCTTCACCAAGAACAGTGGCCTTTGCATCTGCTGTGAAGTCTTTGTGGTAAGAGCCACTTCATCCCAGAAAAATGCTGCTCCTTTCCTGCTCACCTTGTGTTATTTTAGGTCAGCTGAATGGGTACATGCAGTGACAGGAGAATGGCAAGGCCGCTTGGACAAGAGCCCTTTTCCTTGGTTCATAGAGCAAAGACAGTGATCCTGAATTTAAATGAGTGGATAAAATGTCTTTCTGATTTCATAGGAGACCAACTAAAAGTGATAAATATTCCAAATGATGTCCTTTGAGTCAAGAAAAAGAAAGCTGGCCCAGAAATAAAGAAAGAAAGTGAAGGCATTTGGGGTCATAACTGTCCACAGAAACATAAAAGGATGAAATGAGCCAGAGGATGCTATTAACAGATCAACTGAGGAGGAGAGAACCAGACATCATGGCCTTAACTGAGAGCACAGAGAATTTAGATTAGATATTTAGATAAACTTGATAACACTATACATATCTAGGAAACTAAGCCAAGTTTTCCATGTCTTAGATAGACATCACTCATAGCTGAACTAATCCCTTTTTTGTTCAGGAAGTATGTGGTAGACTAAAGATAACTTATTGGTGGGTTTCCCAAAAAGTATCAAAGTAAACACTAAAAATTTAGCCATAATTATTGACTGATAACCAATCTCTAAAGTGAAGAGAAAGCATTAAAATTATAACAAAATAATAAATCTAAGTCCTTCAAGCCAGTCTATCTCTACTTGTATCCCCATAACACTCTCTCTCTCTCTCTCTCACACACACACACACACACACACACACACATGCACACACACACACACACACCATTCAAAATTCAAGGCTACTTCAGTGTATTTTTAGAATAGTTACCAATTCTTCAAAGCATTTTCCTACGGTTTTTATTAGATCTACATAACAGCCCAGTGGGGCAGAAAGGAAAAGAAGCCTTGTTCTCACTTTGCTGATGAGAAAAGTGAGATTCGGGAAAATTAAGTTCATACACAGGGTCAAATGACAAGGAAGGGCCAGGGCCAGGATGTCAATCTAGGCCAGCCGTGGGCAAACTACGGCCCACAGGCCGGATCCGGCCCATTTGAAATGAATAAAACTATTGAAAAAAAAGACCGTACCCTTTTATGTAATGATGTTTACTTTGAATTTATATTAGTTCACACAAACACTCCATCCATGCT